CAGAGAAGTATTATTTAAAGATACAAAAGCAACTTTTGTCACGGTTACAAAGGGCCTGAAGAGATTGATTTGACTGGCCTGGGAGGTGGGACCCGGCTGGGGCAGGACCTCGGGTCACATGCTCATCTGAGATTATGACAGGCAGCAACAGCAGAGTTAGCGCATTGCTTAGGCATGTGGACTCTCAGGAAGAACTGAGACTAGACAACGTTAAAAGCATTAAAAATGGTTTCTTTCGAGACCATGACTCGAGGAGAAGGGAGAGGATTATTACTATTTATAGTGAACACTTCGGTACTTATATTATGTATTACTTTGATAAAAATTAAGAAACAATACGTTTTAATTTTAATTTAATTTATTTTTTAGAGACAGGATTTTCCTCTGTCACCCAGGCTGGAGAGCAGTGGCATGATCTAGCTCACTGCAGCCTCAAACTCCTGGGCTCAGTGACCCTCCTGCCTCAGCCGCCCCAGCAGCTGGGATTGCAGGTGCAGCCACCTAACAGTGGTTTTCACTGACTAAATTAGTACCCAAATGTCTCCTTTCTGACCAGATGGCTGTTCCCCAGAGGACAAGGACTGCATGACTTGTCAGTCTTGTTCCTGGAGAGGGTTGTGGAGGGGAAGAAAGGGCCCCAGGCCCCGAGGATCAGAAAGGGCATTAGCAGAGTCAAAGGTGAACAGACATAGTTAAAGTGGTGAAAACAGGTTTTATTCAGTAACTGCCAAAGGTGGGGAAAGAGCTGAGCTCCCTTCTGGTTTATACAGGGCTGGTTTGAGCCTTTTAAAGGAAGCATGAGGGAGTAGGGGAGAGGAGCGCAAGGGTCAGAGAAGTGCAAAAGGACGAGGGTTGCTCAGTGTGCATGGAGAGGCCACTGCTGGCTGGCAGAGAGGGAAGTTACCGCTCTGTTCCCTGCCACCCCGCCCCCAGGCATCTCTCAGAGAATGGCTCTGGGTCCTAGAGAGAGCTGCTGCTGGTTGCAAGACATACACATTTATATTTGTAAGGCCTTTGCAGTAAATGCTCTAAGAAAGGTGTCCGCTGTGTGTTGGCTGGAACAAATTCCCAGTTGGCGCTGAGCTTCCCTGGCAGGCTTTTTTTTTTTTTTTTTT